GGGAGCAGTCACACAACCACCCACCCATGAACTTGGCAAAAAGACCAAGTTTCCTCCTAACCCATTGGGAGGAATTACACTAGTTGCCCTTTTTGTTGGGAGTCAGGAAGTTTTCTTGACTCCCAGATTAGGTGGTTTTCTTCACCTTCTCCACACGACTTGTGGGCAGCGTTCCCTGAAAGCTGTGCACTTCTTTGGCTGCTCAGGAGAGATTCAGATGCTACCCAGGTGATTAGCAGAGTGCCCACAGCTAAGTGTTTTGTTTCTACTGGTGGTTCACATTTGCACATGTCTCAGTGCAAGTAAAAACATTATTCTGTACATGGATAGAAAAGATAAAAGGGAACATTGGTTGTGTGACCCTGTGATAGGGAGTGAGGAATTAGAGTATAACTTAGTACATAACTTTGTAACTTAGTACATAAAATTTGTTGCAGATGTCCAGTGAATGTACTCATTATAGAAGGGGTACAGATCAGTTTAAATGAATTGGAAAAGGATGTAAATGAATCCATCTAGGGATGTAAGCGACTAGTTGACTACCCAATAAGCATAAGCTTTTCTGATAGTCAAGTAGTCACTCAACTAGACACTTCCTTCCCGCCTTGCTGCCTCTATCAGAAAGAGGCAGTAAGGGGGGGAAGGAGAGTAGGAGCTGGTGCTGGGGGGAGCCAGCTTAAAAGCCAGTTCCCTCCAGCACTGTCTTGGGGTGGGGAGAGCCAGAGGAATCCAAACTGCTGCGCCTCTCCCTTTGAAATGTACAAAACCCATGTGCTGCTCTTGTACATTTCAAAGGGAGAGGTACAGCAGGATGGTGAGCACCCCCCTTATCGACCAATTGAGTAATTGATGGAAAGCCCATCGACTACTCAATTAGTTGATTAATAAACATTTCACATTCCTAAATCATAAAGAAAACATCCCATACTGCACAAAAGGAAGTTTCAGGTTCCTACCTTTTGTACAGTGAGGCTCCAACCCCCTTCCTAATACCCTTTAAAGGACTTGGCGAAGAGTTTGGGGGCATTTATATGTGGGACAGCAGGACAGTAGTCTGTTTATAATGGAATGGCCAGGACCTGATTTGGGACAAATTGGAAATGATTAAGGAAAGGATGATGGCCAAACAGTGAGAAAATACAGTTATCAGAGAGAACTGGAATCCTCTTTTTTTCCAAATCATCAATTTCTGAATTACTCAAATAAGGATGGCATATACTGCTGTATATATCATTTCTGAGTGCTCATGCATAGTAATTTGGTTTGTTCAGATATTTTCTGTAGAGCAGTTGGCAAACTCTTTACGGGGCTGCTCACATGCTTGTTCTATATACATTGCATATTTTTGTGGCAAATTAATCATTTAAAGATTCTGAGATGAAAAAATGGTACAGTCCTCTTTAGATACCCATGGTAGGGATTAATGTAAAGTAGGCCATGACAAATAAAAGCAGGCAATTAAAGAAAACCATTTAGGTGATGGCATAGAGAGTATGCTTGTTAAGTTGGTAGATGATACCAAGCTGGGATGAGTTGCAACTGCTTTGGAGGATAGGGTCATAATTCAGAATGTTCCGGACAAACTAGAAAAATGGTTTGAGGTAAACAGGATGAAGCTTAATAAGAACAAATGCAAAGTACTCCACTTAGAAAGGAACAATCTGTTTCACACATATAAAATGGGAAGTGATTGTCTAGGAAAGAGTACTGCTGAAAGTGATCTAGGGGTTATAGTGGACCGCAAGCTAAATATGAATCAACATCGTGAATCTGTTGCAAAAAAAGGCAAACATCATTCTGGGACGCATTAAGAGGAGTGTTGTGAGCAAGACACATGAAGTCATGCTACATGAACAAATTTAATAGACGGTCCATGCACAGAGACCCAACAAGAACATACCTATGTGTAAAATTAATTTTTGATCAGTTAATTTTTTAATTTAATTAATGTCACACAATAGAGGGAATTTTAAGACAGGAAGCCAGGGCATAAAGGCTTCCTGCCTGGCTCCACAGACTCCTCAGCAGCCACTACTTTCCAAGTCTTTGGCAGAGCATTTCAAAGTATGGATGGGGGAACCCTGATTATTTTAAGCCCTGTAGGATTGATTTTGTACTGATTTGGAATGGTGGAATATTAAGTGCTGAAAACAGAGGATTTTTCAAAACTTTAAGCTACGAAGGTTTGTAATAGATTCATATCTATTTAAATGTAATAAACATTTTAATTAGCATACCAAAACTACTGCAATTGAAAATCTCCCTTTAGGTTTTATTGCTTATTGCATGTTCATTAAATGACAGATAATTAGTGAAAAACATATTCATTGAGGATTAACAGCTATGTAATAGATATGCATCTGTTACATTATTCCAAGGCTCAATTGTTATTTAATGTATAATAAGTATCCTAATAAAACACATTTAGGGCTACATTTTCAGTGTGGTGTGACTAGAATAGACAAATTCCACTCTCTACTGTTAAGAGGAGATATTCTTCAGTTCCCTGTGCATCATGCTACAATGTGAAGTTGAATCTATTTTGGAGATATAGTTTTAATGGGTAAACAGTATTTTTAAAACTAACCTGACTGCCGTTGGTATTAATGAGTTACACCAATAGATAATGAACTGAAACTATTAAGTTAATCACTAGTAATAGAGAGAATTTTTGAATCTACTGATCTGCTTCTAAAGATATTTTATTGATTTATGTTCTCTTTTCTCCAGGGGAAAAATAATCAGACACTGTTGAGTTTCTTAGCAAACAGTATTTTTAAAACTAACCTGACTGCCGTTGGTATTAATGAGTTACACCAATAGATAATGAACTGAAACTATTAAGTTAATCACTAGTAATAGAGAGAATTTTTGAATCTACTGATCTGCTTCTAAAGATATTTTATTGATTTATGTTCTCTTTTCTCCAGGGGAAAAATAATCAGACACTGTTGAGTTTCTTAGCACATTTAGAAAGGGCCAGATGATATCATTTCACTGAAAAAATATTTGGGAGTGTAGCAGG